AGTAATCATTATAATTTGAGTTATTTATGCATATATTAATTTCTGTGTAACTGTAGGAAGAAGAAGTTGACAGATCATTGAAGGAACTTTATTCGACCTCTAATGTGGCGTTTGAAATGGATAGAACTACGATTTAAGGAAATTGATTCACAATCATTAAAATATAGTAAAGAGCTTGCAGAATATGATAAAAGAAAACATATGGAACCTGATCTTTTTACCTTAGAAGAGTGAGATTCAAAGTCATTTCCATTTTCAACTAACGAGTACAGAAGGCTAAAAAGAGAAGAAAAAGAAAGAAAGATGAGGACACAATTGAAATTGAGACACAACATCTATTGGGGCTATTTATAATTCAACTCACCATGTAGCTGAGAGGAAATTGTTTTGTTGAATTATGAAGTGAGTTTTGCTGTATTGATATGTTAATTTTTATCTGTTAATTTTTTAATGCTGCAATATATACTTATTGTACACCGCTCGCTAATTGTATAAGTCTTTTTTAATACTTAACCTAATATATGATATGGACTTTTGTGCATTTAATCTCTTCATTAAGGAGATTTGATTTTGATTAAATTTTTTTATCAGGTGTAATAAGAAAATTGGTATTAATTTAGCAAAGAAATTATAAAAAAAAATTAAAAAATTTCAACATAATTTGTTTTTCGCCGAAAATCTTTACGTAAGTTTTCGATGAAAATTCTTTTTTTGTCAGAAATCATTACAACAATTTTCAACGGAATTTCATTGATTTTTTGTCAAAATTTTTTATGGAACTTGTTTTTCGTCGAAAATCTTTACATCAATTTTTGGCGAAAATTTATTGATTTTTCGTTGAAAACATTCTACGAAATTCGTTATTCGTCGAAAATTGTTACAACAATTTTCAATGGAATTGCATTGATTTTTCGTCGAAATAAATTTGGTCAAAAAATTTCAACCGAAAAAAATTCTGTCGAAATTTTTTGACAGAATTTATAATTTTGTCGAAAAAATTGTTATCAACAAAGAGAAATTTGATGGCCTGAATTCCGCCGAAAAATTTATTTTCGACGGAATTTTCATCATTTTCGACAAAAAAATTGAATTCCGTGGAAAAATTTATTTTTGACGGAATTTTCATCATTTTCGACAAAAAAATTGAATTCCGTGGAAAAATTTATCTTTGACGGAATTTTCATCATTTTCAACAGAAAAATTTTGTCGCAAAAATAGACTTTTATAGTTGTGAATATGTTTGGTAAAATCATATATAGAGGATGGATGATAAAAAAGGAATTACAAAATGTTTAAAGTTTGAAAAGTAAATTTCTTATTACTTAAAATCAAGGACGTAGCTTTTCATAGTTTTTTTTTTTAGTGCAGTGCTTTTCATAGGTTTTAAGTAGAAGCGAGTAATAATTTCTAATTTAACCTAATATTTATAAAGAAAGTATCTGAACAAACAAAATTTATTAAGAAACAAGTAAACAAATCAAATTAAATTTTTAAATCTTGAAAAATAATGAAGAAGTATTTATTTTTTATTAGTGATTAAAAAATGTCATATTATTTCTATTTTATTTTTTTAAAATATTTATGAAAAAAATTACAAAAAATAAAAATGTTGTTTTCATTTTTTCTTGTGAAATTTAAAAATAATGGCACATAATGATATCTTTATAATAATGAATGAAAACGTATGACTGAATTGATGAAAACAGACAAACAAACAAAACATCAAACTAATATTATGCTAACTATTTCAGTGAATATCGAAAAATTTAATAGAGAATCAACTGGTATTTCATTGTTGCCCCCAAAGAATACGAGTATTTTTCTAAATTTTATCACCCTTTGTATATACATATACATATATTCTTTCTATTATTACGCGAATAAGAAAGAGTGTTCAATAGTAAGTTTAAACTTGAGCATAAATCATATGAAAAACATGATCCCATCATATAGACCCCAGATGGGATCCCTCTGTTAGGAAATTATATTTTCTAATAATTATTGTGGGTCACATATTATATTAATAATTATATTGTGCTTTTTATATATATTGGATAAATTAAAGTGATTAGGTAAATATTCCCAAATAGATTCCTAAGTGAGTATGGGCTGAATGAGTGGATACCGGTGTTGGGCCAACTAAGTATAATGGGAGCTTATTGACCCAACAATAAAGATAAAAACACTATAAAGGGTTATGGTCCCCAAGACGTCAAATGACAACCCTAGTTTCTCTTCCCTATCAAGAGAGAGACGGCACACTAAGGAATTCGGTTTTAGGGTGATTTGACTGAGGAAGACTACAAACCCCAAGAGACAAGATAAAAGTTATTCCGCTGCAATGGAGACAGGTATGCCTCCACCTTTATGTTCTTATTTCTTTATGATTTGGTATGATGGATCTTGGCTTGTAGGTGATAGTTATCACCAAAAGGTTTAGAGGAATTAAAAATTCCAACAATTGGTATCATACATAAGGCTTCCTACTGCCGAAGCATAAGGTACCTTTGTCATTTCTATCATCTCAAGCTTACCTTTAGGGCATTGGGCAAGACTAAAGACAAAAGATATGGGCGTATCTCTTGACGTACAATCCTTCATGCCAAATCTATCCAAAATCTTTTCAATGTAGGCCTTTTGTGATAACCGTAGGATACCTTGAGCGCGATCTCGAAGTATCTGTATTCCTAAGACAAAAGATGCATCACCAAGGTCCTTCATCTCAAAAATTTTAGTGAGAAGTTTCTTGGTTTCATGCAATAAGCCCATATCGCTACTGGCAAGTAAGATATCATCAACATATAATATCAGGAATATGAATTTACTCCCATTGAACTTATGATACACACAATCTTCCACTAAGTTCACCTCAAAGCCATAAGAGATAATAACCTGATGGAATTTGTGGTACCATTGACGAGAAGCTTGCTTAAGGCCATAGATGGACTTTTTCAATTTGCAAACCATAGACTTTGAATCTCCCAATACAAAGTTTTCTGGTTGCACCATATAAATTGTCTCATTAATGTTACCATTGAGAAACGTTGTCTTTACGTCCATCTGATGTAGCTCCAAATCCAAATGAGCCACAAGCGCCATTATTGCCCTAAAAGAGTCTTTCGTAGAAACCAGAGAGAAAGTCTCTTTATAGTCTATGCCTTCTTTCTGAGTGAAACCTCTAGCAACTAGACGTGCCTTATATCTTTCGATGTTGCCATTTAAATCCCTTTTGGTTTTAAATATCCATTTACAACCAATGGGTTTCGCACCTTTAGCCAACTCAATAAGATCCAAAACGTCGTTGTCTTTCATAGATTGCATCTCATCTTCATGGCATCAATCCATTTATGAGCATTAGAGCTTTCTAAGACTTGTTGGAAGTTGATTGGATCATCTTCCTTTAAGCTTAAAATATTTTCATGCTCTTGAAGAAACACAATATAATCACCCGGAATTGCATTTCTCCTTTCTCTAGTGGATCTCCTTAATGGCACTTCTTGAGTTTGTTGAGTTTGTTCTATAGGTGGCATAGGGGATGGTTCATTATTGTCTTGACCCAAAGCAATGTCAGGGACCAAAGCCTGTTCCATAACAATGTCATGAACAGGGACCTGATCATTAATTACTTGTTCCGTAATTGCATCTTGAATGATGACAATATTAGGAGGAGAAATATTATTTTCTTCCTCATCAAATACAACATTCTTTATTTTATCTTCCCCCCCAAACTCAACATCCTCAAGGAATCTGGCATTTCCCGTCTCCAAAAAGGATCTTGTAGTGGGATTATAAAACTTAAAGCCCCGAGAGCGTTCAGCATATCCAACAAAATAGCAGCTGATTGTTCTTGAGTCCAACTTTCTTTCATTTGGTCTATAAGGCCTTGCTTCTGCTGGACAACCCCAAATGTGTAAATGCCTTATGCTAGGTTTCTTTCCATTCCATAGCTCATAAGGGGTTTTTGTCACTGCTTTGCTGGGAACCCTATTAAGGATATAAACTGCAGTTTTTAGTGCTTCTTCCCAAAGTGATTCTGGCAATGAAGAATGACTAAGCATACTCCTCACCATGTCTTTAAGAGTCCAGTTTCTCCTTTCTGCAACATCATTCATGCTAGGTTTACCTGGCATTGTGTATTGCGGGACGATTCCACACTCCTTTAGGAAGATCGCAAAGGGCCCTGGACGTTGTTCACCTGATCCATCAGATCTACCATAGTATTCACCACCACGATCAGATCTAATGGCCTTAATTTTCTTGCCTAACTGAAGTTCAACTTCAGCTTTAAATTCTTTGAACACATCCAATGATTGTGACTTCTCTCTAATCAAATATAGGTATCCAAATCTTGAATAGTCGTCTATGAATGTGATAAAGTATTGTTGACCATTCGAAGAGGCTGTAGGAAATGGTCCACAAATATCCGTATGAATCAATTCTAAGACGTCTGAAGCTCTGTTGGAACCTATTTTCCTTACGTTTGTCTGTTTCCCTTTATGCATTCAATGCACACCTCAAAATCATCCAGATCAAGGGGTTCAAGAATTCCATCAGTCACAAGCCTCTGAATTCTCTGTTTAGAGATATGACCTAAACGCTTGTGCCACAGAACCAGTACCAACAAACTAAAGTGAGAGTCATACCTTTCTTTTCGCGTCATGCCTTGTATTTGGAACACTCTTTCTTCATGTGTCCAGATTTCTTACAAAAGAAGCAGGTGAATTCCTAGTCCTGTTTCTTTTGCTTCTTTGGCAAAGCATCTGCATTATCCTTAGCTCTCTTTCTTTTCTTGTCTTGGGAGGTTGATGCCAAGTGAGCACTATCAGTCTTCTCTCGCTGTAACCTCTCTTCCTCTTGCACGCATTGAGAAATGAGCTCATTAAGAGTCCATTTTTCCTTTTGAGTGTTATAATTCACCACAAATTGACCGTATTGTTCAGGAAGAGAGATAATAACTAAGTACATGAGCAACTCAAAGAGCAGCTCTAACTTTAATTCCTTTAGTTTTCTAGCAAGTTAGACATTTCCATAATGTACTCCCTTATGTTTCCCTTTCCTTTATACCTCATGTTTATGAGTTTGGACAACGTTTGACCAATTTCAGCCTTTTCATTTCGAGTAAAGTATTGCTCGAGTTCCTTCATAAACAACTTGGCATCAGTAGTCTCAACAATCGAGGCCCTAAACGCCTCCGGAACGGAAAGTTTCATGATCATCAGGCACATGCGATTTGAGCGTTCCCACTTCTCAATTTTATCCGTGTTTGGATTTTCCTGAGTGGAAGTGGGTTTCTCAGTCCTTAGCGCATTGTCGAGATCCATGCAGCCGAGGACAATTTCCACATTCTCTTTCCACAGTTTGAAATTTGCCTCATTAAGCATTGGAAGCATATTCATTTGAGCAACATAATTGGCAGCGGTAGCAGAAACTATACAGGGAACAAAAAAGATAACATACTAATAACATGTCATATCATCTATATAAATACACGATATAGACAAATAATCCGAAGTAAAATGAGTTTATTATAAGATACCTAGCACAATATTTAGTCTGTGGACAAAGATATCAACTTGTAAGTGGTACTCTTAATGTAGTAATCAAACATTGACAATAAGTCCTGTCAAATCATAGCCTTCCTGTGGGTCGACTATGAATTACATAGAGAATTCTTGATAATTGTCACATATTTATTACCACAGGTATGTTTGTTACTTGGCCAAATAATAACCTTCCTGTGGGCCGATCACTATCCGCATAAGCAATAAACACACACATGATCACACAACATATGTTATTTGGCCAAACAACAACCTTCATGTAGGCCGATTATTATTTGCATAAATAAAATATATTTATATGACCAACCTATTTGAAATCAAATTAACTTTTATAAATTTGGCCACCGTGGCGGCTAACAAATCTATCATATTTAATTTCAAATAGAAACCTTTAGAGATAATAAACCCATTTAAAAACAAAATAACAACAATAAAGAAAATTATTCTTTATCAATCCTCAATGTATATACATACATACTATATCATTATACCATTAACAATAAATACTTTTTCATTATAAGGCTTAAAAAATAATGCACAATCAACGCACATGTAAGCCTTTTCAAATGAAAGCTTGAAAATGATGCACAATACCCAAAAATAAATAAATTATATTTAGCTTTTAACAAAGAATATCAAATATAAGGAAAACCCCAAAACCAAAGACCTTAAACATTTGATTTCTTTCAAACCGTAATTCCAAAATTTTCTAAGAGAATTCATTGTTTATTTAAATTTGCAATTCAAACAACAAACCCTAATTATAAAGCCAAATTTTTTCCAAACATTCCATCGTTAAGAAGATTCAAAAGTTTAAATAATAAACCCTTATTAAACTGCGAATTCTAGATTTTCAAAAGATTGTAACTTTTGTTCCAAAACCAAAAATTACCGTCAGGGAACAAAAATAACACTATATAGCTAATACAAAATACATGAGATGAAACCCACATTAAAAAAACAGTAAACTTTATGCCAAAAGACAATAAAACAAAACTTTTCACGATTCATCATATATAAAAATCACAAAACTTAATTCTCTCATGATTCAATATGATTATGGCTCTGATACCAATTGTTGAAATTTTTAATTCCTCTAAACCTTTTGGTGATAACTATCACCTACAAGCCAAGATCCATCATACCAAATCTTAAAGAAATAAGAACATAAAGGTGGAGGCATACCTGTCTCCATTGCAGTGGAATAACTTTTATCTTGTCTCTCGGGGTTTGTAGTCTTCCTCAGTCAAATCACCCTAAAACTGAATTCCTAGTGTGCCGTCTCTCTCTTGATGGGGAAGAGAAACTAGGGTTGTCATTTGACGTCTTGGGGACCATAACCCTTTATAGTGTTTTTATCTTTATTGTTGGGCCAATAAGCTCCCATTATACCTAGTTGGCCCAACACTGGTATCCACTCATTCAGCCCATACTCACTTGGGAATCTATTTGGGAATATTTACCTGATCACTTTAATTTACCCAATATATATAAATAGCACAATATAATTATTAATATAATATGTGACCCACAATAATTATTAGAAAATATAATTTCCTAACACCCTCATCCCTGTGTTGCTTTTTTCATTATTTCTTTTTAGTTAACTGAATCATAATTACGTTTTTCAGATGAGTTGGCTCCCCCGATATTTCCACAAGCTTCGATCTTTTGAGCTGCCTATGAGATTAATCTGGAGTGCGGATTGCGGGGTTGGTCAGGGATGAAGATATTTAAATCCCTCATAAAGGTGATATGTGGGAATCGAATCGAGACCCTTTCCTTTTCACTTACTCAACTCCCTTGCTACCAACCAACCTATCTCCATTTGGTTGCTTTCTTCATTATTGTTATTTTGGATTTATCTATATTTGGTGTATGGATTATATACTTCATTGGAACAGTTATGGTTTAACATTATTAACTTGATATGATTTAAAATTTATTTTTTAAAATGATACAAATTTCAAAGTTACGCGTTTCACCTATGACTTGATAACCATTCTTTATAATATAAATTTTGTTTAGTCGTTAACTTGACACGTGACTTAGTAAAACTAATGTTAATAGCATTTTAGTCAAGACTATGTATTTTATGGTAAAAGAAACAATTGCATAATATAAATCACGTTGGGAGAAAGTTAAAGTCTTTCTAAATTAAATATTAAATACAAAACAGTAATTTTAACTTATTCTTGATGCTCACGATTTAAGTAAATAAAAAATAAAAAATAAAACTATTACAAAGTTGTCGGTAAGACTTTAGATTTTTTAAATTTTGCACCATTTTAAAAAGTAATTTTAAAATTGTGCTAAATTAATAATGTTGAAATGTAATTGCACCGATTAAATTAAAAAAGGTCCTTGGTGTACCTTTTCGAATGACTCCTGAACCACTAAATAACTAATTTAAATAAGATTATCGATGCCGAAACATGAATTTGATAAAGATTATGCATAATTATGATAAGATAATTATTTAGAAAGTTGAATAATGCTTAAAGTCGCTTTTTAGATGAAGAGCGCAGATATCGGTTCTGCTTTGCGGTATAAATGCATATCGGTGAAGTATCTCGAAAAATTATAATAAAAATATAAATATTTCTAGAAAAATATCCAGGTCTGGGATATCAAGTTTGGAGTAAGAATAATGAGAGTTGATGTCAGAATTGATACCGGCTACGTATAAAACGCGTACCAGCAAAGTGTTGCAAAAATTATAATAAAAATATAAAAATTCCTAGAAAAATGACTAGGTTCAGAATATTAAGTTTGAGATTAAAATGATTAGCGGAGCTATTATAACTAATATTTATGGATTAATTTAATACGCCTATAAATATTAAAGGGCACAAAACCCTAGGTCTCATTCCACATTTCTACGTAGAGTTCCCTCTTCTTCATGGCTGCCATGAACTCCTTTGAATAGCTCTTGCTACCTTTCCTTCAAGAACCTATTTTTACATCATTTCTTCTTGCTTGAGTTGGCCAACCTTGTTACAACTTGAAAGTGATCACCTTGAGGCAGAAAGGCACCTGCTTGAGGGAGTTGTAGCTGCTGTGTTTGGGTGTGTGGGGACTGCTTTGTGGTTAGGGGTGGGTTGGAGCCTTCTTGGTCACCATTGAAGCTCCAAGGAGTGAGCTTTGTGAAGAAAGGGCCAAGCTTGGAAGCTTCAATTCGTACTCCTCCTTATACAAAATTTGTAAGAGGATTTTCCAACCTTAAAGACCCTTCTTTTCTGGTTATAAGGCTTTGGGGTATATTCCTTACCTTTGTTCATGAGTTTTCTTGTAAAAGATCAAGACTTGGCATGAAAATAAGATGATTAAGTAACCAACATGAACCCTAGCTTAAATGTGTCTAAACATGCATGTTGGAATGTGTAACAGCCCGTTACCGGACCGGTATGTTATCATCAATTATGATATTAAGCGCGCTTACAATCACAACAGTTATTTGAAATTTTGGGAATTTTTTTTCTTTTTAGAGTAAATACCCTTTTTCGGTCCTCAGCAAATTTTACGATGCCCGCTTTTGTCCCTTGCAAATAAAAAGGCTATTTGTGGTCCCTAAGAAATTCATAGTGGACCCATTTTGGTCCTTTTGAGGGACTAATGTGGGTCTTTTTTGAATTTGTGAGGGACCATGATTTCAACTAAATGGGTCCATTTTGAATTTCTAAGGGACCATGAATAGCCTTTTTATTTGCAAGGGACTAAAGCGGGCATCGTGAAATTTGCTGAGGACCAAAAAAGGTATTTAATCTTCTTTTTAATATCGTTTGCACTTTTTCAATAATCGTATCAGACAATATACTAACTGTGATCATTTCTCAAAACTCATAGCGAAATTATAAATCCATAAGCTTAATACCATATGACTTACATTTAGAGGCTGCTAAGTGGTTCCCATAAACCAACAAAGCTTAAAACTCATTCTATCCATGTTTAACACTAAATGCCTTCATCTTTTTAATACTCAGGGAATTTTATAATTCTCCAATGATTCTACTTTCCTAATATGTTATAAATTTCTTCGTTAGCTTCACGTGGGTTCAAACCGCGCTCAATTTGGAGCACCGTAGCGCAAGTTATGAATTTTCTAAGAAAGTGATGCTGAACTCGCAGAGTCCGACGCGAACAGCGCCAAACCAGAGCAAATAACACCAAGAAACAGACAATTTCCAGATTTCCGGCGCGAATAGCACCAGGAATACATATATTTCCTGTATGTTGGCGCGATTAGCGCCACCACGGCGCTAATAGCGCTATAGGTCTGGAGATAGACACCAAAATAGGGCAATGCAACCAACTTTGATATTTTACCTATAACTTAAGTTATACTAACCCGATTTACACGATCTTGGTCTTATTGGAAAGGTAAAAGAAAGATCTATAACTTCCAAGGAGGACAATAGGTTCAATTGTATCATATGGGATATGAAAATTGGGCAACACTCTGTTTATGTTTTCAACAATTGCCAATTTTCCAATCATTTACCTAATCCTTTATCATCTCAATGTTTACTTGACTATTCCACAGCTCAACACATTCAATAAATCATTAACCCTTCCATCAATTATACACCTCCATAAGATATTCTTTACACAACTCATTCTTAAACATAATCCAAGTGGCATGGACATCCCCCATGCTCACCTATATCCAAAATGATAAAATGAGGCATATACAATTGGATTCCAAAATACAATTATTAGTCAAGAGACTTAGGATTACATATGAACAACAAAAGCATGGTAAATACAAGTACATGAAATACCATGTTCATATACTAAGTCCTCTACACAATGAATGTCAACATATGCATATACAAATCTTCCAAAATGACATGAATCTCATGCACCAAAATATATCTCCACCACTAGGTGGGCTTCTTGTCTGAAGCTCCAACATGCTCACCTGAAACTGAAATGGTACCCCAAAGAGGGGTGAGATATACATATATATCTCAGTAAACCAATGGCACCGGAGGGTCACTCCGCCCAGTGGCTCACTCAATGTGCATGCAATGATACATAATGAACAGTATAACATAAAAAATCATATCACAACCGGGCACAATCCAAGAACATCCACTAAAGGATTCATTCAAGGACCCCATCAAACTTCTCTCGGGACGCTTCCTAGCGCCTCTCCCATGGTTGAGAGACTCCATGGCAAACCCAAATAGAACTCCCAAGGAGACCTATCCAGCGAAAGTCCCACGTTTGGAGCTCCCTAGTGCCGCTACCAGAGACGACTCTACGGCAAAATCCAACCGGAACTCCCCAAAGGAGCATAACCGGTGGAAGTCCAAACCCACACATCTACTGGCCAGAGATCACAATTGCAATAACACACAACATACCACACACATGTCAATCAACATGTCAATAATGCATGAACATACTATTACACACATTATCAAAGAGCACACATCAACCATCACCTCCAACTTGGAATGGTGGAACGCACAAGGGGATTAATCCCAATTCCAAGAGTTTACCTCAACTCCACAAGCAATGCTCTTCAACGTTTTCTCCAAGCTCAATCCATCTCTATTGAATCCGTGAAAGGTAACTTACAATGATCATACAACAATGATCATCAACAACTTGATCACAAGTCACAATGATTCTACAACCCACAACAAACCTCACCATTTAATCCAACACTATTAAACTATTCCACATACTCAATGGGAACCTTACCATAATTTCCCTCAATGTGCTTATATAATCAATAAATAAAGACCATGGTTCCTAGGGGTTTTTCAATGATTATATCATGCTTTAACCTTCCATTTTCTTCCATAATTGATTACACCAACCACCAACACATAAGTTCAACAACCATATTTATGACCCCAACAACAAAATCCCTGTCAATTTTGCCTAAGTTACCAATTCAAATCACAACAAATTTTATTGATTCAATCATCATCATTTATCATTGTGAACAATAAATTCCAAAGGGACACTACCATTAAAGCTCTCCAACTACATCAACCAAAATACCCACATTCAATGTTCATCAATTTTATGATCTCTTAAATAACCCAATGAAAGTGTAAACACTTACCACAAACTAGTTCAAAGGTTCCCCAAGAATGATTTTCAAGTCTTGGATGATCCAAAACCGCCACCAACCACCACCTTTGGCCTCAAAACCGCAACCACTAGGAGGGAGAGGAT